CGCCCTTGCCCGTTTCGATCTGGATGAACATCGATTGTATCGGTGTGCTATCGTGTGTCACCACTACGTGATGCACGTTAAAGACTCGAGGGCACTGCACCGGCTAATTTTTGTCATCTCTAGTCGGAGACACCGGCCACAAACTGAAGCTGACCAACTCCTCCTTGCCTAAACATACGCGCAGCACAATTTGTTTTACTCGCTCTAGGACCAGCGTGTGGTAAACGAGACTTCTTTTGAATGACTTTAATTTATAAACTTTGGAAGGCTAATACGACTCCCTTTGTGAATTGACTCAAGCGTTCTGCTCCGCCGAGTGGGCTGTACCCAACATCCGGCAGCCGTTCAAACTCGGTTGAAAATCGTGTCATTTTGTAAATTTCAAGCGCAGATGCGCCGATTTTGATATGTAAGTTATCGCGTAATGCTATGCTCGATAAAATATTAACAGAGACTAATTGCGATGTTACATGCGTGCGAATAAAAAAAGGAAAAACTGTGTCAGAGCTAATGGCCGGTCGCTCCGGTGAAAAGTAAATCCGGTTGCTGTAGCTATTTTACTGCTCTCCTGGCGCAATGACACAGTGCGCTGCTGACTCCACTGCTATCAAAGTAACCGAACAAAGATACGCTAGTTGATCATTTACTGAAATAAAACAACAGAGCGCTAAAGGCTAATTTTGGAGTAGCCATAAATATTCTAAGAACGCGAACCACTTCATAATGGCAGCCACGAGCGAGAGTTCGATGTTGTCGGTACAGCCCGCCGGTACAGACCAAAGATGGAGAACGGCAACCTCCCGGTTTGTCGTCTGCTAGCAGAGTCGGGCGCGTGCCCTCTCTCATTTTACCCCGCCGAACCTAAAGTCCCTCGATGTTTTTTCACGTTAGCCGAACCTGTTGAACTTCCCGGATGCGTGGAGAGGGCGCTGTGGTCTAACGAAATGGCGCCGCCCTGAGAGCGCTAAATGGAATGGTCGGCAACAGCCAGGCGGCGCCAGCAGAGTGAGATCCCACGGTTAATCGCGAAATACACGTACGATGAAACCGTCCGATCCGACGTGCAAACTGCCGGAACGACGTTCGTGGCGATGGTTTTCGACGCTCTCCGGTGCTACTAAAACCGTCGCCCCCGAACCAGTGTTGCCAGATTGGGCTATATATAGCCAAAGTGGGCTACATTTTTTTCTAGTCGGCGTCAAAAATTCGTGGTTGGCTATGTGGCTATTTCTAAGAATGCGGCGAACTTTTGTTTAGCTAGTTAATTTTCGAACTTTTAATCAGTTTCGAAAAAAAAGAAATATTGTTTCTCTTTTGACCAGTCGAGATGAGAGAGAGGGAGGAGAAAGGCTTCAAACTTCGGGGTTTTCACAATGCGCAGTAAAGCAACGCTTGCAGAGTACAAGCGGTCTCCCTACAGCGCAGTACAGCGAACCAAACAGATTGCACTATTACTACAGGCCCGGTAGCGCGTTCAACCCGGACGTATATGGTGCGGCCCGGACGTAGACTCCAAATGCTGCTTTGGTGCCCATTGTGAGAATCCTTAGGCACCGAAGTTTGTAAAAATGAGAAGTCCGCAGGTTTCACAGCTAAACAATTAACTACCTTTCAGTCGTTGCCTACCCCAAGGAAGGACAACACAATTAGAAATAACATGAACGGGTGATACTAATATTCTTCACAAAGAAAAAGAGACGGGTGGGATTTTGGTAAGGACCTGAGGCATTGGCGTTCTGGTTTGAAACACCCAGTGTTCGGACTGTTCTGCTTCTGTATTTTGTTCTTTTACTGTATGATCATATCTCCCGGGCTTCACAATAAAGCTGTCTTTGTGTGTTTTGTACTTCTGAAAACCGAAGGAAGGGCCAGTTTTGTACGGATTTCCATCCTTCAGAAGCTTTTTTTTTTTTTTTTGAAAAATTCACGAGTATGCGCACGCACGAAAGGTGGTGCATCTGAGGGTTGAAACAGAGATTGTAACTTGTATTGTATGAGTGTGAGAAATTGTCAATATAAGGCTCAAAACTCATTGTTTTTAGTCTTGGCTATTTTGGGCTATATTTTTTTTACGGCTTTGGCTATATTTGGGCTATACCTCCCAGTCGTCTGGCGGTTTATTAATGGGACCATCTGGCAACACTGCCCCGAACGTCGTTCCGGCTAGGTGGCTAAAGCTACCACCCGCTACAGTAACATCCGGGCGGCGGAGAAAAGCTCACCGGAGAAAAGCTCACCGCAAAACCAGCAGATGCGGAGAAAAGCTCACCGGCCTTTCAGCGGATGCGGAGAAAAGCTCACCGATGTTTTTTTTAGCTTAGCTTGATTCTTCGTCAAACGTGGCAATTTAACACAATTTGCATTCGTCACTTCATTAAAAATATGTCCTCGTTTTTGTAATATTGTTGAAGGTCATTGAGCATATTTACTAATTCCTCAGAGATTAGTAATCACCCATTCTGTAAATTAATGAAGCCGCAAGTATAAAATCAGAGCATCGTACACCAGTAAAGAAGGCAACAATTTATTGACAGCTGAGCGTGCGCCGTCGGTAGCTCTGTCAGATAAAGAGGTTTGTTTTTTTGCGAGCTAATATGAATATCAGTGTGTGAATCGCTTGAGCTCCAAATATTGTATAGCGCATAATAGATAAGAATGTGTTTGTTGATGTAATCAGTGTCGGCTACGCTGTTTTTTTTTTTTTCTGTTAAGTGCACTAACAAACTCTAGTTGCGAGAACAGCTTCGTCCTGTCGTGTTTGTTGTCTTCACCCCGTCGTCGTAGTTTGAGCGGCTTTCACCGTGTATAACGTTTATCAACTCGCCCAATTCGCTACCTACCTTACAAAAGACTAGTTCTTATATAGCTCGCGAGGAACAACGGTGACAGTGAGCACCTCTGAAGGTCATGGGTGACTCACCGTAGAAGGGCACTATCACACGAAGGGAACGTGTTGAAACACCAGCACGAACGGCTAGAAAACGTGCATGTCCGTGGAGGAAAGCCTCGATATCCTATTGACGGTTTTATCTTGTTTTCAAAGGTTAACAAAAGCTCCAAAGAGAATTTCAGGCACCGCGTTGTTACCCATGCACTTTTGAATTTCCGGCATTTACATCTTTGATTTTTAGGTTTTAGGCAGTCATCATTAAGTTTTTTGTTTTTTTTTAACTTTTTCCTGTTCTTCAAGTTCATACAGTTTTTAGTTAGACTTTCGTTGCCTAGAGAGTAAGCCACAGAAAGCACTCGCCCGCAATTATTTATTTGGGAGCAATATACCCAATAAGCTTACAAATAATACAAAAAATGGCATTTTCTTTTTTTACAAAGCTGACGAATTTTAATCAAGATAAATTGATATATGTTACGCATGATCCAACAGCCTCCATATAAAAAGAGGGGAAAAAAATCGGTGAGCTTTTCTCAGCATACGCCGGTATTGCGGTGAGCTTTCCTCCGGTGAGCTTATCTCCGGTGAGTTTTTCTCCGGTGAGCTTTTCTCCGGTGAGCTTTCCTCCGGGATTCGGAAGCGAATTGGAAGCTCCGGACCATTGAGATTGTATAAAATAGGGAAGAGGGGCAGGTGAAGCTCTCTATTACGTCCTTAACTACTCCACCTCGCGCGGCCGTGGGCTAGATTGGCGGAATAGGATGGGATGGGCTACGGACTTCCTAGTGACTACCTCCGGGAGTTAAATGATTTTAAGGTATCGACGTTTATCGAAGCAACACTTGTGTGCAACTTTCGTCGTGAGATAAATTAGTAGTGTCAATGGCAATGGCACCAACGCCAAATTCAGCTGAGAACATTTTAATTCATACAAGCGCGTTTTATTTTTATCTGGCATACGTTGGCATCCGGTTAATATTAATCTAATTATTTTAATACGAAACACAGCGAAATTAAACTCAGAATTTCGGATAATTGGGAATCAAACCAAATAAACTCCGAATCGTCGGCAAAAAATAAACTCCGAAAAACACCCTCCGAATTCGACAAAAAAAATAAACTCCGAAAACACGGAACCCTGAGCATGACGCAGCGAAAACCCCTGAACATCTTCGCAATAAAAGCGCACTTTGGTGATACGTAATCACGTTCCGATTGGTCCGCCAGGGCCGTAGCTTCCGCCGTACTGGTATGTTAAGAGATCACGGCTTCCTGGCCTACCCAGTATTTGTATTTCTTGCATTAAACGATAAGCCGAGCGGCGCCACCAGAGTAATAGCTCACGTTTGAATAATGCAGCCGCCACTCCCAGGCATACCCAATATGTATCGCTTCAGTCGCTAGATAGCGCCACACCAAACAGCAGTGCAGGTTGCGAAAAGCGGGAGTGGACATAATCTGAAGTCGGCTAGCTTCAGAAGGCTGAGTCGACCCTACGATAGTCGATCCATGCAGATCGGGAGACAATGCACCCGCTTGCTTCAGTGAGGAAGCAAAGGTTGCTCTATGGTGCTACCTCGCGGTAAAGACTAAGGCGACTCACTTTTAATTAATTAAGTAATTAATTTATACCGAAGACATTATAATGTATTAATTGGAGTGGCAAGATTTTATACAAAAATAGGAAGTTCGAACAAATTTCGAGATACGCTGCGAAGCGGCAGCTGGACTTCCTGATACCGATATTGTTTTGAAAAAAAATACGATCTGCTAAAACTTGCTATTGACCTATACGCAAAACAAAAATTAAAATAAATAATAATAATAAAATAAAAGAACAATGTTAGTGTTGTAGCGACACTCCAAAACCCACAGAAGGGAGGAAGCATAGCAGAAGAATGGTTACATAACGCGTCGATACAACTATACAATTAAAAGTTCCGTGCCTTTTTGACGGTTAGCGAATCGCTCTAGGTGGAATTAAGTTCGCAATCAAAGCGAAACAGGAGTAGAAATAATCTGAAGACGATACGAGCAGCGTGTCTGTCACACTTTACAGTGGCCGGGAAAGTGCGAACGGGGCAACGCGTGGTGGAGGAACAAGACCTACCTCGAAACCGCGTCCATGGTGCCTGCGGTCTTTCTCCGGCGAGCTGCGGAAGGGACTGGCGACGGACCGACGTATATTTTTTTCCCCCTCCGGAGCAGCGAACTTGTTGCGACAAGGTTGCTCTCGCACCAGGAACCGGCGGCAGCTCTCGCTTGTGCGTCCACAGTCTCGCTAGATGTACGCTCTCCCCCTGGAAAGAGGTGAAGAAGCCGACGAGGCACGCGCCATTGTGATTCGGGTTCGCAGACGCCGCCAACTCCTCGGGAGTTACGCTTTATTGCATATGTAGGCTTTGAACACGTCTGCAGACTGTATTTCGTATGATGTATTAGCAGCGTGACTGTAGCAATGGCTAGATTGCGGAGCACGGGGAGCGAAAGCTAGCTTTTCAGCAGAACTTATTGATCCCGGGTTCAATCCTTGTTGGAACCTAGCAGGGTTCTTGAGTTCAACGTCCATCCTCACCCAGCCCGATCTGGATGACAATTTCAAGTTCTGGTTTGCGCAGTCCACACAGCATGGCCGAGTTGGCGGGAGGTCTTGGCCGATATATTTTGGGAGGAACCAGAGACCCCGGCCCCCTCCCCTCCCCCCTTGGATCCGCAAATGGTTAGCGGTTGTACTCAAGTAGCTAAATTTCTGATCTACAGCTGGGTCACCAGACGCCCATTGAAACTAACTTCCAGCTGTCTAAACATACATACAACACATTCAAACCCCACACCTGCCGTTTTCGATCTGGATGAGCATCGTACCAGCGTGCGGTCGTGCATCACTACTGCGTGGCGCACGTTAGAATCGCCAGGCTAGTAGTCGTAGTGCACTGGCTAAACTTCTCATCTACAGTGGGTAACAATGTCGCCATACTCCGGTAGACTAAACTCCTGCTGTCTAAACAACTAACGATTGATTTGTTTGATATCTTAATCCCCAAGAAAGTGAAAAGGAACGTCGCTAATTTAATTATTCTTAAAAAAATATGTAGAACTATAGTTACAGGTTACATTTCGAAAAACATAACACACGCGTTACAGATAAAAAAAAACGGGTGTACATTAAAATATGTTGAAAAGATACACGGACAACAGGGGCTTAGCCAGGAATTTTTTTTTTTTTTTTGAGGGGGGGGGGGGGGGGGTTCAAAATGCATGTGCATAAATAGGGTTGACTGAATACTGGGGGGAAGGGGGGAAGACAAAATAAAGCCCCCAAAGCCCCCCCCCCCCCCCCCCCGCCCCCCTCCCCTGTTACACCACTGCACAGTGCACACAGGCGAAGACGAAGAAAAAAGAGGTCGTAGACATTTCTGTGTTCTGCCTTTTCTTTGTCTCTCTCTCTCTCTCTCTCTGTGTGTGTGTGTCTTCATAGTTCTTAGTAGCTGTGTATTGACAAAGAACACTCAGACACTCCCGAAAAATCCAAACCGTGTACTTTACCGCAAAGCGCTTGGGGAGCCAACCGCTACAAGGGCGACCATAAAAATAGGTTTAGAACTAAAAAAAAAAAAAAAAAAATTAAAAAAATACATTCTTTTTGTTTTGACGCTAAGCACGACGTTTCACGTCCTTACGAAATGCTCTGTGTCACATTGCAGACTATTTTTATACCTATTTATTTTTTATACTTTCACCCTCAGTTCACTTCGTAGATTTCGATGATTGGCTTTCGACCGAGTGATTTGTAAAAAAAGTAGACGCATTGTTTTTTTTAAAGAGTGTGTAGTGTTTTACGAAGTACGTGGAACATCGATCATTGGCCTTCCTTTCAATTGCGCAT